GTTACATTGCCCTTGCTTTTAAGGAGCATTCTGGCTTGTACTTCTTCCAAGACAGATTTGTTTGTTCTTTTGGCAGTCCATGATATTTTCTATATTCTTTGCCAGCCCCATAATTTAAGTGCATCGATTCTTCTTTGGTCTTCCTTCTTCGATGTCCAACTTTCACACACATATGAGGCGAATGAAAATACCATGTCTTGGATCAGACGCACCTTAGTCCTCAAAGTAACCTCCTTGCTTTTGAATTCTATGAAGAGGTCTTGTGCAGCATATTTACCAAATGCAATGTCATTTGATATCTTGACTGATGCTTCCATAAGCATTGATTGTGGCTATAAGCGAGATGAAATCCTTGACAACTTCAATCTCCCCTCCGTTTAGCATGATGTCGTTACCTATTGGTCCAGTCGTGAGGATTTTGGTTTTCTTTACATTGAGCTGTAATCCATATTGAAGGCTGCAATCCTTGATCTTCATCAGCAGGTGGTTCAAGTACTCATTGCTTTCAGCAAGCAAGGTTGTGTCATCTGCATAGCCCAGGTGGTTAATAAGCCTTCCAAGCCTGATGCAATGTTTTTCATATAATCCAGCTTCTCTGATTATTTTTTCAGGATACAGCTGGAATAAAAATGGTGAGAGGATACAATCTTGATGCACACCTGCACTAATTTTAAACCATGTATCATGCCCCTTGTTCTGTTCTCACAGGTGTTTTTTGTTTGCTTTTTTAATCCTGGTCATTGACATCTTTGTGCCAAGCCAAAGTTCAATTCACTGATGACCAAGAATTGTTGCAAGCTTTCATTCTAATAAGGTTGGAAGGAGGAAAGACATATAATGACTATATGAAAGGGTAACTTCAGGTCATTGTAAATGCTATGGCAAAAATAAACAGTGTAAGGAGTTAGATGTCTGAAGGTAGAGAATTTTTTAAGGACTGGGTATGGAAGCTTCTGAGTTGGCATTTGAAGAGAAAACTGAATGAAGTTGAGAAAACTGAAGAAAAGTATTCCAGAGAATTCTTTCCCCTTTAGACTGTTACTATCTGTATGTTGGGTCACACCTCATCTCTCACTAACAGATCATCCTTGACTTCATGCACCCCAACCAACCTCTAGTCCCCAAGAGAAGTTATTAAAAGGTTTTAATCAGAAGAGAGCCATGGCCTAATTTATATGTTAGAGATTACTCTTCATGTTTTCACACTATGGCTTGAGAGAAAGCAAGGGCAGAATCTGTCAGGTCAATTAAGAAGCTATGATAATGTGCTAGAAGGTGTTTGGATCTACAGTCAATGCTTATGGACCCCCAAATCAAACCCACCAAGTCAATTCTTTCTCATAGTCTCCCCATAAGACAGAGTAAAACAGCCCCTTTGGGTTTTTGAGACTTTAAACCTTCATGGGAGCAAATGACCTCATCTTCTGCAGAGCAACTGGTGGGGTCAAACTGGTCACTGACCCAGTGGCTAGCAGCTCTATAAATGCCACCAGGATTCCTTGTGTTCATTGAAGCAGCAAATAAACATATTGGGTCTTTTAGGTTTTTTATTTCTATATGCATATGTATTTCTTATATGTACTGCTAATGTACTACTGGATATAATAGAGCATACCCACTGCCATTGAGTCAATTCTGACTCCAGCAATCCTATATATGGTTTCTGAGGCTGCAAAGCGGTCTGGGAGCAGAAAGCATGATCTTTCTCTTTATGGGTAACAGCCCAGTGCTTAGCTGACAACCCACCATGGCTTCCAGGAGAGGATCCAAGTTGTGAAAACTTACTAGCCATAAGTAAATACCTTGAGGGAATGAGTCACTGGGTTTGGGGTTCAGGATGATAATCTTGGGGAACATGCAGGTCAATTACTACTAGCATAACAGAGTCTCCAAAGACAATATTCTAAATCTTATTTCAGGAGTAGCAACTAGGGTCATAAAAGTTTCTTTTTTGTGTGTGTATAAGAGCTTTACATTAAAGAGTAATTGTATATTGAAAAGCATCCCAGTCCAGTCCAGATCAAGTCCGTAAGTCTAATATTAGGCCATTTGTCAGATACTAGTCCGTAAATTCCTCTTTAGACTCATGCAGCCATGCAATCATGCCGAATGTAGGAAGATCACAGGCCAGTGGGTAGAAAGTCTTGTAGATCCAGTGCCAGTGGAAGCATCTCAGTACTGGTGTGATCCCCACATGGCTCCTCCAGCTCCATCAGCGTAGCTGCATGTGGCTTGCCAACAGGGATGTCTCACAGGGAGACCAAGCAGAGAAGGAGGGCATGTCTGACCTCCAATGAGCTATTTATGAGAGTCATGCCTCCAAATGAGGTTATCAGACTGGGACCTGATTGACAGGCTAGACTCCACCCCTTCCTCAAGTTGACAGTAGATTATGTAACTGCCAGACCACCTTGTCAACGACACTTTTACCCAACTCTTTAGCCACATATAATTTTTAAACAAAAATATAAAATCATATCTGTACCTAACAGGATAGAACTAAAATGCATAGAATTCAATATGTGCCAAAGCCTCATTTAAACTTAATATTCTATAAGTGAACAACACAATATTTTATGCCTAACAATTGCAGTTAAGTAACACCTACACTTAATCCTGTGAATATATTCCCTTACTTATGAAAATTTGTAAGCCAGCCACTTCATGCCTTTGTTCCCCCAATTTAGAGTATCCAATTTCTATACTGCCCACTTATATCAATCCAGTGCTCTGAGGAGACAATCATATTCTTTGATGTGAAGAATCTTCTTTCCAGTTGGAACCTTGTGAGTCTGCATCCATAAGCAAAGTCAAATCAGGATGGGCCATCCTTAAAAGTCAGCAGCAATATGCACCAATTCACAGGCTCAAAAATCTTTTCTTCTAACAAATAACAAATGTACCAATGTGCTTGACATACATGGATGTCTGTATGAATTGTGATACGGAAAAAAAAAAAAGAATTGTGATAAGAGTTGTACAAGCCCCCAATAAAATTATTTTAAAAAAAACTTTTCTTCATTTGATTGGGTTTTGGTCAACTCAGTGTGGGCTGCCTCACTTAGCCTCACCGGGGTGCCCATAGGCTGCCTTGCTGTTAGACTATGGGGCCCATCACAAATTCTCAACAACCCTAGCCCCTTTGTGTTAGGTCATGAACTTCAGACCAGTCAACTACTTTAATTTTCTCCTCTAGTACCTGTGAACCAGGTCCATGGGTGTCAGTGGCGAGATTCAACCCATCTCTTTATTGCTTCATTTCTCTCACTTCCACTCAACA